TCTAAAGTTGGGGTGGGCATCCGATTAATAAGGTAAACTGCCATGGCAAAAGCAAACGTCCAATACGACTTGGGCATAGAAGCATGCGAGAGTAAAGCTAAGCCGGTTTCAACAATATGTCAAAGTCGGCGCTCAGCAATGCCATTATGCTCAGGTGTATGCGGCGGACTCGTCATATGAGATATGCCATGAGTCGAGAGAAAAGTCGAAAGACCTATAAACTCACCCCCATTATCGCTATATAAAGTCCGAAGTTTTTGTTGAAAACGATTTTCTACTAAGGTTTTAAATTTTGTAAAAACATCAAAAACATGAGATTTTTGTTTTAAGGGATATAACCAAGTATATCTAGTAAAATGGTCAACAAAAATAACATAATATTTAAAACCATCTACGGAAATTAATGGAGATGTCCAAACATCAAAGAAAACAATATCCAAAGGATGAGAAGACTTTAAAGTTGAGTTGGAAAATGGCAATTTATGCATTTTATTAATAGAGCAAGCATTGCTCGGGTGTGCAAGTAAAACTTTAGAAGCAAGAGGTAAATCATATTGAGAAACAACTTTTTAAAGAATAGATAAAGCTGGATGGCCTAAACGAGAGTGCCAATCCAAAAGAGTAGTTTTAACAGCAGAAGCAAAAGCAAGTGAAGATGGTGTGGAGGTTGAGCTTTTGGACCACTCATAGGTTCCATTCTTAGGTTTGCCTTCCAGACTAAGAGCTCCCGTTTGAAGGTCTCTGACCTGGAAATACGTTGGAGTAAAGATAACCGCAGCATCATTAGTTTTGCATAATTGAAAGACAAATATTAAGTTTTTATCAAGAGATGGACACAAAGTATATTATTAAGAAAAAAAAGTTTTGTGTAAGAGGGAAGAGAGCAAGAACCGGTGTGTGAAATCTGCAAGGCAGATCCATCACCTAGTAGAACATCATCGCCTCCGGTGTAAGGGTTGTGAAGTGAGAGGTTGGCTAAGTTGGATGTCATGTGGTGCACCTGTGTCAACCAACTAAGTCGAAGAATCAGACATCATAGTGGCGTTTGCGCGAGGCTGCCACTGTTGTTGATATTGTGGTGGCCGCCATGGCTGAGGGTGAGAAGATGACCACGGTGAGGCAGAGGTGGTTCCCTTGACAAGACGAAACTCAGGGCAGTACTTGGCGCTATGACCTTGTGTGCCACACGCCTGACAGCGGCCGAGATATGGTTTGGAGAATCGATTTTGGTGTGGTGAAGCAGACCGGTTCTGACCACGATTCTGTTGGCGTTGACGTGATTCAGTGGCACGAGCAACAATTGGTGCAGGCGAGGCGGAGTTGGTGCATAGGATCATAGCTTCACGATTTAAAAGACGTTGATAAAGTTCAGGGAAAGAGATTGAATTGTCACGGCTGTTGATTGCATCGATCTCTGGTTTGTACTCTTCAGGGAGACCGGCGAGGATATCTTCTGTGAGATCCTCTTGATCCATCGGCTTGCCGAGCAGAGCAAGCTCATCTGCCTTGCCCTTGATGATACGCATGTATTCACTTATGGTATGTGTTCCTTTGGACGTGGTCTTGATCTGGTACCGGATCTGTCGCGTATGTCCTCGGGAAGGGTTACCGAACGTCTCCGCAAGTCTGTCCCACACTTCTTTGGCCGTGGTAGCACTGGATACCACCGATTGAACCGAGAGCAAGATTGCTCCAATCAATGCACTGTAGAGAAGCCTGTCTTGTCGCCTCCATGGAGCGAATTGACAGTGAGTGTTGGAGAGGGAATTTCTCTAGATCTGTCAATGAACTGGTGAAGTTCATGAACTTCAAGTAACGCCTTTACTTCACGTCCCCACATGACGTCCCCACATGAGATAATTCTGAGACGTAAGCTTCGTCACACTAGACATGTTAACAAAGAAGAGTGCTTTGGGGATCTTGTGAATTGAACACAGAGGTTCGCTCAGCGGTGGAGTTGGAAGCCATGAGAGATAGAGGAGAGAAACACAAAGAACAGAGAGAAGAGAAAACAGAGAAAGAAGAAGGAGAAGAAGAAGCAGTCGGCGGAAAAAAAAAAAGGTTAGACTCCTATTGTGGCTCTGCTACCATATTATGGTAAGAGGAATTGATGCTTTCTATTGATCATACAAGTCTCAATATATACAGAGAGACAACTATACATATAAGGAAGGGAGATATACAATAGTTAGTATGGCATAATTACAGGGATATTATACCGTTGTAATGTATACGTTAGAATACGTCAATAGGCAGTAGCTCAAAAGGAGTACACTTACATAACGGTAGCAAAACCAATCGTAAGAGAGCAATCGTTTTTGCTACTCCACTTTGGTACGGTTTGGTGTGCGATAGAGAATGTAATATACTGTTGCACTTACTGGGGAGATTTAATTTGGTCTGATCACTCTGAGACTGAGAGTAGAGAAAGTAGAGAATGGAGAGCGATCAAGGGTTTGGAAACATTGCGTGAGATCAAGACATCAGGGCGTGATTATGACATGGTTAAGATTATCTCTAAAAATCTTTCAAATTTCACTTTTTCCTTCATTTTAAAGATAAAAATGAATGAAGTTTTTTCCAACGGTGCTTCAATTTCACCTTTAATGAAGGAATATTATTCATTTCTTTATTTTTTTAAGGTGAACTTTTTGCTTACAAAATGTAACTTTAACTTTTTATATGATTTGTTTTATACCCAAACAAATTTATATGTTTTTTTTTTACCCAAATTTTTTTAAAACTATGTATTTATCCAATCAAATTATAAACTAAAATTGCAATAAGCACAATAAAAAAATACAATAACATATATTAATTAAGAAATACAAGAATATAACCAACTACAAAATTAAAAATACATAATTAATACTATTTTATAAATAATAAAATTTAACATAACATAAACTAACAACTTAATAATCTGAAAAACTATTTCCACATCCATTAAAATTATTAAATTTTTGTTGAAATTTTACAATAAATAAAATAAGTAGGTGAAAGTTTATAAAACAGAAAATTGAAAGATCTTGTTAGCAATAAGTAATAAAATAGAAAGATAGAATATACTTCAAATATTCTTTTTGAAAAGAAAAAATGAAGAAAAGTTGATCCAATGGTTTTTTCATTTTTTCCTTCAAAAATGAAGGAAAAAATATTTTTGAAGGAAAAAATGAAGAAATCATTGGAGATGCTCTAACTAATAATGGGAAACTTTTAGTTATGTGGGACGACGTTAATGATATGAAACCGAAAAACAAAATTCAGTATGCCAAGATTTCTTTAGAAACAAGATGCAATGGACCTAAGGTTTGGGGTAAGGTTGAGTGTGTCAATGAGCTTACATTTCCAGGCGAAGAATACCAATCATTCTGTTGTTTAACTGTTTCGGTTTAATGACTCGTAGTACGTAGAGATGTCATAAGTCGTTCCTTTTGCTTTAAACATGCTGTTTTGTTCTTTGAGAAAAGCCTTTTATGCATTAGTTTTATTTTAGGTCTTTCATTAATTATAAGAACATGTTTTTCCTTTTTTAATTTTTTTTAAATGGATGTGCTTTATTAAATTAAATACGGAAGATGAAAATACCTTTAGAGCCACGGAACTCACAAAAAGGAAAACCATTACATATTTACATTGAACTCATGAAAGAAAAAACAATATACTTTGAATCGAGAAGACTATGGCCTATCAATCGGCAAGAGGTGGAAACGATCCTCGGAACTAAGTTTTGCCGGCATGACTTTTATCAAAGGGAGGATCAACCTATACTTGTGTCTTCGCTTGTGTTTAAGCATTGTAACAGTATCTCTTTCCCAAACATAACTTTAGACCCCCCAAAAAAACAAAAACTGAAACCTGTGAACTATAAACTGTAATTTGAGATTTGAGAAATACACACACTTACTAGCTGGATGACGCACACTCACTAACTGGATTATACATTGACCCAGTACCATACTTGTGGCGCCATTCTGCACCACACACAATCTCCTGCTTCCAAGGATTAGTTATTTGATGATGCAACGTATCAATAGGTTAGATTTTATTACTTTCATTAATCCTTATGTTGTTTTAATGTTCATTAAACCTAACTATCATATTAATTATAAGAAAAATTATAAAATTCTAGAAGGAGTTATTTGATGATGCAACGTATCAATAGATTTTGTGTTGTTGACGCTGGCCGCAGCAGTCATGCGCCAAACAGACCCAATTTAGGTAAAACAAACATCAAATAAGGCGAATCAAACATTTTCTACATTGGATAAATTTTAAGCATCAAAAATTTGATGATCATTGAAGAACTTCCGTGGACCAATCTCAAATTTGGAGACAAGATAGAACCAATAATTACCTTTCATTTGAAGCCAATCCGACAATGCAACCAGATAATATGATGATTTTATAGAAGACATAGTATGTTGGCAGATAAATGGAATCAATCCTGCATCACATAACTGAGTTCGAGTTTTCAATCGATATAGAGATCAATCGATCTTTATAGGAATTAACTGTTTTATGCGAGAGAGAGATCAGAGCCAGTCCAGAATCCAAAAGGCGGAAGCGATAAAAAAAAGAAGGCCATTTTTAGTAAAGAAAACAATAAGTAGTGAAAAGAGACAAAGAGGAGAGTCAAATTGCAGTTTTTGGTGTGCCATGTGAAGCACTGACCAGTAGACTACTTAACATTCACTAATCTGGTGGACGATCAAAAATATATACGAATAAAGGCTGCAAGCACAAGCTTGCGGGCTGAGGGGAGGCCCTCAGAGAAATCATGGATGGTGCTTAAGAAAATTATTGGATAGATGTATATGACATTGTTTATGCGGACTTAGGTTAGATCATAAATTTGTAATTTAATTGCCTTTACAATTAGTTGGTTTGGCGTAAACCATTGAATATTTCCGGTTTAGAAGAATGAGAAAGATTTTGTTCTTTCACCTTCTCAAGAATTTTCCTTTCGTAAATAATCTTCCATCACCGTAGAGCTCGTAAACCTGAATCTCAGTGTTAATCATCTCTGCCACACCTTGTCGCCATCGCTAGATTCGAAGGTTTCTGTTTGAGCTCGTGTCGTTTGTAAGTTGAAATCGTCTAAACGGGAATTTAGGGTTTTTATTGGCCTCTGCTTTTCGTTTTCCTTGTACACATAGATTATTTGGAGGTACTTCAATTCTATTATGATTCTCAAGTTTCGATTTTAGTTTCTGGGTCTTGATTTCTCCGCTCAATTCACGTTTCCGTGTGGTTGGTTCTTTAGTTATCAAGTTCTATTATGATTCCAAGTTTCGATTTTTAGTTTCTGTTGCTCAGCTCAATTTTCGTTTCCATGTGGTTGGTTCTTCAATTATCAATTCTATTATGATAAAAGTTTCGATTTTTAGTTTTTGGGTCTTGATTGCTCCGCTCAATTCACGTTTCCATGTGGTGACTGAGGATTCATGGTTCTTCAACTATCGGAATTCTAGGGTTTATGATCGTTTTTGGAATCTGGTTTCAGGGATTGAACGAAATGGGTAAGCATAGGAAGAGAGAAACTGATTCGGAAGATGAAACTCCATCTTCGGCATCGTCGTCTTCGTCTTATTCTTCGTACAGCTCCGATGAGTCCGATTCGTCTTCTAGAAAGAGGCGGAAGAAGCGAAGGGAGCGGCGGAAAAGTGACGGTGGTTATGAGAGAGAGAAGCGAAGGAGGAAGGAAAAGGAAAAGAAGAGGAAGAAGATGGAGAGGAGGGAGAGAAAGAGGAAAGATAGGAAGAAGAGGGCGAAGAAGAAGCGTGATTATGAGTCTGATTCCGAGTCTCATTCCGGTTCTGAATCCATGTCTGATCCAGAGAGCTCACGGGATGAGCCTGAAACTGTGGTGAAGGAGATGCTATTGGAGTTCCCTAATGTTGCCAATGATTTGAAACAGGTAATGATTCGAGAAAGCTTTGCTTTTGAGTAGTAGAAATTGAGGTGAATCCAAAATCATTGCTAGTAGGATGCGTTTAATGACTCTGTGATCTTTATGCTCTTTCTTTTGTAGCTTTTGAAAATGATAGATGATGGACAAGCGGTTGATATAAAGGGAATTTCGGAAAGTGCTTTGAAGAAGCGGTTGAAGAAGCTGTTTCTATCTTTGAAGTTGAAAGAACGTGGGGATAGAGTCTTTTTGTTACCACCAGGTGCTTCTCCTTCGTTAGATTTGGTGGGACATCTTATAAAAGGTGGTGAAGAAGAAGCTGAGACTGCCTCTTCGAAGGAAACAGAAGCAACTGCTACTGGAAATGGGATTGATGAGACAAAAAAGGGATTGGCAGATGAAAACGTTCTGGCAGCAGATGATGTTGCTGGTCCAAAGAAAAGGTGATTCATGCTTATTCACGCTTTGAATGATTAGATCTAAAATTGTCTCTTGACAACAAACATGATGGTGCTATAATTTGATTGCAGGGTGATTGGACCTGCAATGCCATCGGCTGAGCTACTTGCTGCAGCGGCAAAGCTAACAGAAGCTCAAGCTGAACTCAGGTGCTTTTAATTGATTACCAGTTCACGTTTATCATATTACATGGAATGACTTTTTTCTTGATAAGTATTTTTTTGATAATGCTTTAGAGAAGCTGAGCTAGAAGAAGATTCAGAATATTTTATAGGACCTGCTCCACCGGCTGTTGTTGCAGAAGTAGCATCCTCAAACGAGGCAGAGAGATTCGAAGAGGTTATTAGTCTTCCTTCTGGCATTACAAATACAATCATTTGGTTTCAAAGTTTGTGGATAACCTATTCCTTAAGAGTAGCAACTCATACTCCTCTCGTAAGCAGGTGACACGGATCATGGAAGCTGAAGCTAATAGTCCCTACGATGTTTTAGGAGTGAATCACAATATGGCTGCTGATAATATGAAGAAGAGGTGTGGTTTCTGTTACACTTTTGGAATCAAGAAAATTTGATTATTAGTCGCTAAATATCTGCACTCAATCATATAATCAGCTCAAGTTTATGTAATTAGTTCCATGATTGATATAGACAATTTTGGTCTGTAGGTACTGGAAGCTCTCTCTTCTAGTTCACCCTGACAAATGCTCTCATCCCCAAGCCCAGCAAGCATTCGTTCTGCTGAATAAAGCTTTCAAGGAATTACAAGATCCAGAAAAGGTGAGTTGAATGAACATTAACTATCTGATTAATTTGTCAATATTCTCTCTAATGTATTGTGTTATGCAGCGAAAAGCAATGGATGACAAGATTAAACTTAAGGAGGAACAGGAGGCATTTAAGGTTTGTAATTCCGCGGAATTGATCTGTGTAATGTTTGGTGAAAAATATGTTGGTATGATTTAAAAAGACACGGTGTACTTGCCCTGCAGGTTGAATTACGCTCAATGCAAGAAGCAGCACAATGGAGAAGATCACAAGGTGATGATGTGTCATGGTGTCATGCATGCTCCTTAATGTCCTTGGCCTTTATGGACTGAAATAGTAATTGAGTCTTTTCTCGGGTTTGCAGGTATATCAATGGAAGGCGATGCAGAGCTGCTGGCGGCAACGGAAGTCAAACCTGTACCTAAAAGAGACGAGTGGATGACGACCCTTCCTCCTGAGAGAAAGGTGAGAGAGACCCACATTTGAGTCACAAACGCTTGTTAGTTTATCTTTTTAGTCATCAAATTTTCAGTCTCATCTGTGGTTCTTCTTTTGCAGGTCGGGGTGCCTGTGCAGCAATCAACCACGACATTTAGCAGAAATGCTAGAGAAGGACGCGGAGACACTACTGTCTGGACTGATACTCCTATGGACAAAGCTGAAAGAGCAAAGATGAAGTAAGTACACACATATATTTCAACCTCTCGCTAGCACTTGTAAACTACATTTCTGATCCACGAGGTTGTATGGTGAGGAAGCCAAATACCACATTAGGTTTATTTTGAAAGAAGTAGCTGCGCAAACTTTAGCTATAGGTCTACTATAATTAGCCTAAGACCGAATCTAGCAGATTGTAATTGTTGTGTGTTGGTTAGAGAGCACTTAGTTTGAGCTGTATTTATAAGGCTATACTGCAGATTGGTTAGGCATATTTAGTTGAGAATAGAGATCCCTCTCATTAATCAAATCTCTCTGATTTTCCCGTTGTTGCAGTTACTTAGAGGCATACAACAAGGCCACTGCTCTTGCTTCAAACGAAGGGGAGAATATGAAAAGAAGCCTAGATGCAGACCTTGTGGACAAATACAACAAAGAGAAAAGATCAAAGTCATTGGTAGAGAAGCACAGGGAAGAGTCTTCTTCATCTTCAAGCCGTCTGAAGAAGAAGAAGAAATCGTCTTCTTCCAGAGAGAAAGCAGATAAGGATGAGTGGGTAGGGAAACATCCGTGGAAGCCATGGGACCGTGAGAACGATCTCACCGCTGGTAGACAGAATGTGAAACTTGATTCTGATGGTATGGCTGAAGGTTTGGCTTCCAAGTTTTCTTCTGCCAGTTTCCAAAGAAGCTTTCTTTGAAGGCGCTTGTTTTTTGGTATGAGAAATGTATTGCAGTAAATTGATTTGACTAATGTATACAAATTTGCATTTTTTTCACTCTTTAATTTACAATAGAAAATCTTGTCTTCAAAATTCTTTTAATTTGTACTTCCTCCGTTTCACAAAGAATATCACATTTTTCAAATTTATTAAGAAAATTATTAAAAATATTATTTTGTATTTTATTAATGCATTAAATAATTTTTTTCTTTAATTAATATATTAAAATTAATAGAATTAAAACTAAAATATTGTTTAAAATTCTGTATTAAAAATATAAAATGACATTCTTTATGAAACAAAAATAAAACTTTAAAATAATACTCTTTATGAAATAGAGGGAGTATAATTTTTCTTGTTCAACTAGTTACATATAGTACTAAAATGAAACTTCTGAATGAAGTGGAGGGCTCCTTGTTTAACGAACTACGTTTTAACTTTTAACAAAAGAATATTTGCAATTAATTTACAGATATTTAATTTCGAGTGTTTTGCGTCTGAAATTGCACAAATTTTCTAAACAAATATAAATTGTAGGAAAACGAAACACAAAAGAAGAAAGCTAAAAACTTTTGTTCAATTTTCAATTCAATTCAATTCCTTCCGAATTGGGTTTCCTGCGGGAGCATTGCAGTAATGGCGGCACCTCGTAATTTAACCGGTGACGGCGGCGGAAGAGTTCTTGTGAAGGACGAAGAAAGCGCCGCCGCATCATCGTCGGCAGCAGCTAAAGGCTTCCTCAGCGACGACTCATCGACGGGTAAACGCAGCAAATCCGAGCGATTTCCGCTCTCACGGTGGGAATTCGCCGTTTTCTCCACCGTCTTCCTCGTCTTCACCACTGGACTTTTGTCTATTTACCTCACCATGCCCGCCGCTGAATACGGGAAGCTCAAGCTACCCAGAACTATCTCCGATCTCCGATTGCTCAAGTGAGATTTGCTTCTTCTTCTTTTAGGTTTTTTTTTCAGTAGATTGATTGATCCTAATGTAGAAAAACTCAAAAAATGTTTAGCTTTCAGTACTCTCTTGAATTTGGATCCTAATTTAAAACCCCCAGATTGAAAGTTTTGATCTTTGCAAGATGCAGAGAGTTGGCTTAGAGAGGAACAAATCAGCTTAAAAGACATGTTTTTGTATTATTTTTCTCTCCTTTAGTTTGATATGGTAGGTAGAAACTCAAAATGTTGGTACTTCTGGATCCTAGTTTAAACACCAAATTGAAAGTTCTGAATTCTGATCTTTTCCAAGATGCATAAAATTAGTTAAGAGAGCAACAAATCAGCTTAAAAGATATGTTTTTGTCTGATTTTTCTCTTCCATTGTATTATGGTAAGCTTTTTCAGTATCCTAGTTTAAACCCCAAATTTAAAAGTTCTGATCTTTACCAAGATGCAAAGAAATTGGTTTAGAGAGCAACAAATCAGTAGCTTAAAGACATGTTTTTCCTTTTTGTATGAGAAACTGGTTTGTTGATGTGTGTGATTTGCTTGGACTCAACTATTTGCTGATACATTGATCTTGAACATATTGCAGAGATAATCTTGGGTCATATGCAAGTGAGTACCAAGCACGATTCATTCTAGGTTACTGTTCTACATATATCTTCATGCAAACCTTCATGATACCTGGAACAATCTTTATGTCATTGCTTGCTGGAGCTCTTTTCGGCGTGGTTAGAGGTTTTGTACTTGTTGTCCTCAATGCAACAGCCGGTGCGTGTTCTTGTTTCTTCTTATCGAAATTGGTCGGGAGGCCGCTGGTTTGCTGGTTGTGGCCTGAGAAGTTGAGGTTTTTCCAAGCCGAGGTAAGTTCTCTCTTGTGTTTAATCAGCTTCTAATAAGCTCTCTTGTTCTGAAGGATTAGTGCCTTGAAATTCTTGTAATGCTTTGATTCAGATTTCGAAGAGAAGAGATAAGTTGCTTAACTATATGCTCTTCTTAAGGATAACACCAACACTGCCTAACCTCTTCATTAATTTGTCATCCCCAATCGTTGACATACCCTTTCACGTCTTCTTTTTAGCAACTTTAGTCGGCCTTATGCCAGCTTCATACATCACCGTAAGAGTGAGTCTCTCTAGTTTTGATCTCTTCTTGCGGTTCTGTGACATTGAAACAGGCTAACGTTGTACATTTACTTCATGTATACAGGCTGGTCTGGCTCTTGGAGATCTCAGATCAGTGAAAGATCTGTATGATTTCAAGACTTTGTCAGTGTTGTTCCTTATTGGATCCATCTCCATATTCCCTGCTCTGCTGAAGAGAAAGAGAGTATATGAATGAATACTGAAGAAGATGAATATTTATAGATATATTGATGAGCAGCACTATATACTGTTGCATGCCGGGATTTTCAAAGGTGTTTATGAGCTCGAGCTAAAGAAGAAGATCGCTTCCGAAACACCACAGAGCTTTAAACCGCTAACTTTGGCTTTGATTGGTTTATCGTGGATTCGAAATCCTTTCTTTGCAGTCTCTCATTCCCTTTGTAGTAATTAAGTGCTTGTCTAGCTAGTTCACTGAGTCTTGAATCCAAGATTGGCTTTGTATATTGAATCTTGATTCGGAAATATCTGACTCTGTAGCCAATAGGCTTTTGTAGCAACATGATTATGTAAATGTTTGAAGTTCTTGCTTTGACCAAAAGAGCGCAATCCATCTTATCAAATAATTTAGTCACGACATGGATTACCAATGTAAGTATGTGTCGACGTGCGAACAAGTAACCCTTGGTTCAGAACGATCAGCAGATTAGAATTAACGAAAATTGAAGAATCTAGATGGAGGAAACTTAAACGCAACCCCAACACTGAGGAAACCGAACAGGACCAAACCGAGATTTTAAGGTCGGTTTCGTTTCTCTTGGCTGAACCGATCGGCAGGTGTTCAATTTGAGTTCGGTTATTCGAGATTTTTGGTTAATTGTTTTTTCATTCTGCTTAATAACCGGATTATACCAAAATTAGACCGGTGTATATCAATTAATCAATTTCGCTTGACAACCGGAATTTAACTAAAATTTCGCTTAATAACCGGAATTTAACTAAAATTAATCGAAAATAAGCGATTTTTTTCTAAAAATGACCGAATTTAACGGAAAGGAAAAACTAAATTTCTTAATTTCGGTAACCTTCTAGAAAACTTTGTTTAAACAGTAACAAAACCGGCTCGGTTCGGTTTGGTTAACCGAAGTTTTAACTTCTTACGACCCAAGTCACTAAGAATCAAGACAAAATTAAATAGATTTAGCCAAAAAAAAAAAGTGAAACTAAGAAGATTTAGCCAGTCAATAAATGGAGATCTAAAGAAAATGGAAAAAACCAACTTGGAAACTTTAACAGATTAAAGAAAACACAAAAAAGTAAAGTAAATATAGTAACTTGCAGTTGAAGAAACGTGAGCTTATGAAGAAACGTGAGCTTAGGACATATGGCTTCTTGACTTGGAATGTCTACAGAATCTCAGGAGCTTAGTTAAGTCCTATATATCCAAAATATGAAGCAAAAATATCCCATGCTATAACACAATTTAGAAATTTGCTCATCTACAAAACTGTAAAAACAAAAAACAAAAAGAGAGAAAGAGAGAAAAGATTCAGTTCTTCTTTCTGGGCTCTCACTTCTCAATTCCAAAAAGTATACATAGATACTATAATCAGTTCGGTGTGTCATCAGATTGTGCAGTGCTGCTAGTGTCCTCAACTCCAAAAGCATCAGCTATATTGAAGTTCAAGTTTTTCATCATCGTTCTGCTTCTTCCAACTCCATCTCCTTTCTTCATCATCGCAGTAAACTCTGAGAAATCAATCCTCCCATCCTAAACCAAACCGCACATTCTCATCATCAGAACCAAACTCACTAAGAAACAAGAGAAAAAGGTATATAGATAATGAAGGGGCTTTCTTCTTACATTGTCAAGATCAATCTCCTTGATCATATCGTCAAGAGGAGTGTCACAGAGACCAAACTCTGTGCAAGCTTGTTGAAGCTCGTCAATGGTGATATAACCGCTCCCGTCTTTATCAAAGTATGAAAACGCAACCACCAAATTCTCCTCTCTCTCCATCTTGTTCATGTGTAGTGTCGCTGCTAGAAATTCACCGTAGTCTATCGTCCCACTGTTGTCTATATCCGCCTGCCAAAACACAGTTTATGCCTTGTGACTCTTAGAATCTTGTGATTCTAAAGGAGAGCTCATGTTTTTTGGGAACATACCGCATCCATAAGAGACTTGATTTCTGATTCCATTAGTTCAGATCCTACTCTCTTTAGACCTGCTTTAAGCTCCTCAAAGGTGATTGTTCCACTGTTGTCTGTATCTATCATTTTAAACAGTTCCTTCAGACCACCAATTTCTTCCTCCGAGAGTCTCTCAGCGATTACCTAACGGAGAAAAGCAATGGGATTGGAGATTCAAGAAAGAGAAAGAAATAGTCTACAATGTTCTTACCCTTAAGGCCATTTTCTTAATCTTATTCATTTGCGAGAACTGTTTTAGTCGCGATAAGACCGCTGGATCTAGAGGCTTGTCTGGTGCAGCATGTTCATCAACAATCCACGGGTGACCTAAACAAACATCAGAGGAAAACATCAGAACGAAATACATGCAGAGGAGAGGGAAACAGTAATCATTACAAAATAAACTCACACAATGCTTCATGTGCAGATATGCGTTTCTTGGGGCTCCTATCAAGCATTTTGTAAATCAGATCTTTAGCACCTTCTGAGATACTAGGCCACGGGTCGGATTTGAAATCTATCTTCCCTTGCAAAATCTGTCTAAAGATTCCTGACTCGGTTTCTGCAAGAACATGGTCGCATAAACCACACAAGCAATGTGCTTGATTTGGTTAGTAACAAAGATATTTGTTTTTATAAAACTTACCTGCCCAGAAAGGAGGAACACCACTTAGTAAGATGTAAAGGATCACACCTGCGCTCCACACGTCTATCTCTGGTCCATAACATTTTTTCAGAACCTCTGGTGCAACATAATACGGACTTCCGACTACATCATACAGATACTGCCCTGAAGAGCCAAAAAAAACCAACAAAATTTACAAAATTTGTTAAGCAGTGGAATTGGCCAAACACATTCTAGCTCTAGAGGCATCTCTGCATAAACATAATAGAACCATAAAACTCTAACGAACTTGCAGATAGGACATCAAGAAATCCGATTTTCAACCAAGTCAAACCATTTTTCGGATCAAGAACCCAAATGTCAAAGTCTAATTCAGAAAACCAAATCTTTCCAAAGAAGATTAATTTTTCCCTAACAATGCTCAAGCAACAAGATCCTGCAGATAGATACCAAAACGAAACATTTCTTGAACAGTGTATGCAAGAAGAAAATCAATCGGCAATATAAGCTGTGAACAAAATTGGCGAAATTTAGTAAGCAGTGAATTGAAGAAACACATTCTAGCTCTATAGTTATCTCTGCATACGCATAAGCATATGTTCCCTATAACATAACCATAGAACTCTAGCAATCAAGAAATCCGATTTTCAACAGAGTCAACCCACTTTTTGGATCAAGAAACGAAATGTCAAAGCCTAATTAAGGAAATAAAACATGTCAAAAGAAGAACAATGTTTCCCTAACAATGCTCAAGCAACCCAGCAGATAACAAGGTATCAAGAAATCCGATTTTCGAACCATTCTTTAGTCAAGAAACCAAACGAAACAGAGTATCAAGAATCCAATCAATCAACAAACTAAGACAAACCCATTTCCCAGATTCTTATCAAAAGGATGAAATCGAAGAAAACGGACCTGGTTTGTAAAAGACAGACAAACCAAAGTCAGTAGCTTTAAGCTTAGCATCATCATTAGGGCTATCAAACAAGAAATTCTCAGGCTTGAGATCTCTATGCATAACACCAAGCGAATGACAAGCCTCAACAACACCAAGAATGGTCTTAATCAGCTTCGCAGCCTCACGCTCGCTGAAATGCCCTTTCGAAACAATCCGATCAAAAAGCTCTCCACCTTCACAAACCTCCATAACAATGTGGACGAAGACAGAATCCTCGTAAGTACCCTTGATCCGGACCACGTTTGGGTGTTCGGAGAGATGGTGCATGATCTGAATCTCTCTCCAGACATCCTCGTAATCCTCTCGGCACACGAGCTTGCGTTTAGGGATTGATTTGCAGGCGTAATTAGCGGTTGATGATTTCTCTGTGCAGAGATAGGTTGTGCCGAATTGGCCCTGGCCTAGCTTCTTGCCGAGGAGGTAGTGGTCTCGTAATCTGGGTGTTTCGTAAGGAAGAACACTGCTCGAAGGTCGTCTAGGGTTTGGTTTCTCCATTTTTCTTGTTTCTCAAATCTTGGATTTCGAAAGATGAAGAAGAAAGACGATGATGGATTCTTTGTTTTGTTTAAGAGTGGAGGAGGAGACGAGACGCACCCTTCACTTCATTCTTCTTCTCCGTGTTTGACAATGCAATTATATTATTATTTTGTATTATTGCTATTTAATTATCCCGTGACGGTGACCATTTTATTTGATTTACATTAATTTTCTTACCAACTTCTTTTATTACACAATAAATTGAATCGATAAGAAAAATCAACTGAGAGACTAGGAGACGCGCCAAAGTATAACGAAATAGGTTCTACTTTCACATATTTTTTACAATAATTATTTCATTAACATAAAATATCACAAAAATTATTTAAAAAATCATGATCCTACATACACGTACAAATCCAAACCTAGGTAAGGTTTAGTTATTTTAATTAATTATTATAGATAAAAATGGTAAGAACTTCCAACACTTCAAAAAGATTAATCTTGATTTTAAAGAAAGATTTATAATATATAGAAGGAAAAAAAAAGATAATTTCATAGCTCATAACATGATTTTTTTTGTTTGCTTTTAATTTCCTTAACAAAAAGGTTATCTTAAGACAAAAAAAAAAAAACAAAAAACAAAAGGGTTATCTATATTTTAACAGAGAAAGGGATGTGCAAGGTGAAAAATATAAACAATTGACCGACTTGCATGCACACGTGCCAGCGAAGCGAATGGACAAGAACTAGTTTTTTCATATCATGGTGGGTTGAGTTCACACGGCTATTGCACTGCACGACCACAAGTTCCAACTTTCATCATCGTGAAGACAACTCTTTCAATTACATTTTTTTTAAAGGACTGTGTCAATTACATTCCTTTTTAATTTGTGCAATACTATAAACGATAATTTGGTAGTTAACGACTTGTGTATCAATCATGAGAGCAACAAGGCTAGCGATCTTAATGATCTGTATAGGAGAATCAAAGCCTGCAAATGCATCAGAAACTCTCTCTCGTTGTCAAAACGACGAAGCTTCAAGAAGTGCAAGTTTAGGACTGTTGGGCCAAAAGCAACAAAAACTCAATACGGTTTTAAATGATAAAATGCTTTTAACGGCTAACTCACTCTGTCACAAAAACAGAGTGTTTGCACAAAAGGAACAAAAGGACAATGTTGTGAAGACTTGTATGGGTGAAGGAGACAAGATCAAAACATGCAATCGATTCTCAGCCTTAGATCTTGATATTACCGTCTGATGATGCCATCTGTCTTGGAGACTAGGGTTTTACCATTCCCCTGTATAAATA